CCTAAGGATGCTAATGGTCTGAAACAATTTTAAATATTGAACCAAGAGCAAGAAAACCTGAATGACTGAAAAAAAAATATTATTCCTTTATGAATAACAACAATAAAGTTCATATACAGATGCAGAGAGAAAGGCAAGAGTGGTGCCTCAATTGGAAGTCCCTTAGTTTCTTTACTTATTTGCTTAACTCACAGTAACAGCTTAGTCTAATTAAAGAGGCCTTGTGAGACCAGGAAACCATACTGTGATGGAAACTGGTTTCATAATGCCATTTAGTTCCTGATTAAAAATAAAAATAAATGCTTAATTTGTGCTTCCTTTTGGCTCAGCTGGAAATGTGCCTAAATTGGGTATGGAAGCCAAGAACAGTTAGGATGTGATTATTTCTTAAGGAAGGGTCTATAGAAGCAAATGTTAGCATGTAGATTCCACAAAAATGCATTTGACAAGTAATTCTGCACACTGCACAAGCTCACATGAGAGAAAATGTCTTCTCATTCAGGTATATGGCCTAGTTATCTTCCATAGGTACCAGCAGTGTATCTAGGAAAAGCAGCTTCAGTAGTCTTGTCTCTCAGTATTATAGTTGCAAAGTTTAAGAAAAATCAGTGGTACAAGAAACTGATTTTACTATACTTTTGGTAGCTTAAATCTAAGGAACTGCAGTTGTAATAAGCCTTGACAGGTTTGTTATTAATTGTCTTCTGGAAGCTTTGAAAGTTTTCCCCTGAAACAATGGTGTAGGCAGCTATTCTGAAAAGCACTGGTCACTCGTCTCAGCAATTAGTGACAAGAAAAATACCTTTTTCTCGTTTTTCTTTTTAGTTAAGGAAATAGATTTTTGTGTACATGACTTCTGAAAGAAAAATAAATGGTTTATTCTGAAAAAAAATGCAGTTTCGCAATATTTGTACTCAAATCATCCTCAGTAAAGTTAATGTGATTTGAAAACAGGATAAAACCCCCAAACCCTAAGGATTGCATTCACATTATACTTGGGTTGCTTTAAACAAGGCTGTAACTAAATCTATTGTAATTGCTTCAGCTAAAGTAGAGGAGGGTAGCAGGAAGGTAGTACCAACTTTGAGATTTTCTGTTGCTGGATCTTAACACTTTGAGAAAGGCTGGATTGGTCTTGTGGAACAAAGGCAGAAGTAATAGTTCAAAGATAATTAAACTTGACAGCCAAAGCAAATGTTTTCATTTGAAGAAGACACACATTTTTGTCACATGAAGGGATTTGTCCATGAGTTTTTAATCAAAACTGTTTTCTTTAATTTGTTTTCTGGATGATTAATTCAGTAGCACTGGCGTAATTTTTTTGCTTACTTTCACCTATTGCAGATTAAGACAAAGGAATTCTAAATGTTCAATGAAAACTAATTGTAAAGCATTGGCTAAATTCTGCAAAGTAAATTTTTAGTTGGAGCCAAGATTTTTGTGCAGATTTTTAAATAATTACGTTTCACATTCTTAGTCTTGGGAAGATAGTTTTGTTTTTAAAATGAAAACATTCATTTAAGCTGTGTTTCATTTGAACACAAAAGGAGAAGCAGAGTTTTCAAAATGTATAAAGTTTATTCAAGAACTGTTTTCAATTAATCCTCGCAATTTTCTTTTGCATAAAGCTGTATAAAGATAGACAAATGTCAATACTAAAGGACTAAAGGAAACAAAAAGGATCATGTTTGGACAATCACGAATGAAGTTTTACTGTAATTTTTCCACTGTGAGACAATTGCAGTTACAAGAATTGCTGTAAGTAATTCTTTTTGAGGGAGTAAATACACAATACATTTCACTATGTGGGGAGAGCTTTTTTTTTCTCCATTTGGATAATACTTTTGCAAATAAACTGGGGAACTGCATACTCTCACTTCCCTGTGCCAGAATTTTCTGTTAATTACTGAAGTTTGATTCAAGTAGAAACAGTAATTTTTAAGTATTAAAGAGGGGGAAGATGTCCATGTGGAGACATCAGAAATAATTTAGTGATATATGGACTATATTAACAATCCAGATTGTAGTATCAGCTGATTATACCATGATAGTTTTAGCATAAATTTTGTTTCTTCACTAACTGCACCTAAAGAAAAAAAAATCCAAGAAATGTTCTTCAATGACAAAAAATTGGCATATGTGCTTTAAAAACAAACACTTCTATACTGCAACAATATTTCCAATGTCAAAGTTACAGCATAATGAAAAGAAGAATGAAACTTAAGCAATGAAAAAGGGCAGATTGGTGATATGGGTATCTGAGGATACAGCAGACCTGGTTAGTTTTTGGTACTACTCAGAATCCACGTGAACTGAGGCAAGTCCAGAAGCTGAAATCAAAAGGTTTATCTCCACAAGAAATGCGGTAGTTACTGCTAAATGAGGTGCCATAATGCTTAGTGTTACCAGCCATGGGACTGCACTCTGATTTTCCTAGCTATATACTGCAGTTTTGTTAAAACATTAACTAAAATGGTACAACTTCAGTGTAAGATGTTGCAACAGAAGTAGCCTCCAAATACCCAGGTTATTGCAATACCTGGAAAGCCTGGGTTCAGTCCCTTGCTCTGTAATAACTTGCATATCACATTTGAAAATGTGCCTCCAAAACAAAAGCTTGAAAATGTGTAACCTAAAATGCTATACTTCCATTGTGAGCAGAATAGGCAGAGTGAAACTAATTTGCAGTATCTGGCTAAGATTTAGGGATTACATTAGGTGAATAATTAGTTTTGTCCCACATGGAAGTGGACATATGTTCCTTGATGTCAGAAACTTAAGTAGAGTGACAATTCAAATGCCTGAAACTAGACAATGGCTGAAATCACTAAGTCCCAGTTCTGCTGTTAATACTACATCTATAAGACTGTTGACATTACAGCCCTCAAAGTTACTTGCATGTAGCAGCAGTTTTTAGGTATCTGGCACATGCAAAGGTATTTCCTCACCTTTATTTTAATACTTTCTATCCAATGAACAAGCTAAATGTGCTTGTAATTTGGTTTGTAGAAGCTTGTGCATGGAGCTGGAATTGTCTAAACTGACTTTAAAGCAATGCTGAAAACAGGTTTCTGTTAAAGTCTGCATCAGTTGAGGGCTTAGTTGTAGAGATATAGTCAAGAGATACAGTTGTAGAAATATAGATTCCTCTGTTTATGGCCAAGAGCCTTGGACTCACACCTCAAGATAGGAGTGTGTAAGTGAGTCTAAGCCCAGGGAAAGGGATTTCAGATATGGAAGACACGTGGCTTCCTACTTCTTCCTTAAGGAATATATTAGTAATTGGAACACTCTCCAACTAACATGTGAGACCATGCTTCGCTTCCTTAAACTCAGCTTAAGCATTTCCTTTTTGCCCAGTAGAAGCTCTTCTATCTTGCATTAATTGCTGTGGGCTCCACCCTACTGCTTCAGTTTTGTACATCACACTCCTTGGATAAATTGCAAAGATAACCCTCCAGGCAGGGACTGCCCAGGGTTTTACCACAATAATAGCAGATACTCTTAACTGGGGACTCTTTCTCAACTCAGGCTTTTGTGCCTGGGATCCTGAGTATTGGCTTTCTTCCCTTACTCATCAGAGGTGAAGTAGCAAGTTTAAAAAAAATTACTTTTTTTCTTCTGATTCTCCTCTTTTAAAGATAATGATTATTTTTTCGAAGGATGGACATACATGTGGTTTACTAACAACTATGGTTTAAAATCCTCCTGTAAATAGACACCAAGGCACTATGTGATTGCAGCTCCTTCCTGGATAATAATATTATCAAGTATATACAAAACAGCATCAAAGCAATTAAAATCCCATGAGGTTTAAGCAACAGACTATTAAATACAAATCTTGTACCCAGAGGTGTGCAAACAATTTATTTGTGTTCGGTGCAACACTGTACAGGGGAGTGGGTCTCTACAAGGTCAATAAATGGTTTGTCAACTCTGGTGAGCATTTATTTTGTATCCAAAGTTCTAATGTAAAAAACAATAAAGAGCAGTTTTACTCTCTCTGGTTGTGATGGAGTTCCTCTCTGACAGGATCAGAAATATCGGTCAACAGCTGCAGATGGAAATGAAATATTCCTCTTAATTGAAACTGCATGGGGCTGCATAAAAGGATTTTTTTTCCCACCGCCCTAACAGTTCCTTGTGTCAGACAATCTGGAGCCACATTTTTTTGTCTTTTTACTAGTCCAGCTGGCAGAGCAAATTGCCTTGTTGAATCAGCACATCCTAAAATAAAAAGGGTTTAAATGAGTATGATGGTACAGGCAGTAGAACAAACTATTGCTATTATAAAATATAGTAACATATTTCTCTGTTGTAGAGTGAACAGATTTGAGACACTGGGAGGTATAAATGATGTCTGGAGCTTTGTGTATTAGTTATTTTTATATGAATCTCAGTAATAAGCAAATCACCATATACATTGCCAAATTAAAATAGAAAGCTATTAGCAACTTAACACCTTTTAGACAGAACTTATACAAATACCACATTTTTCATATCTTATGTTATTGCAAGAATAAAATTGCATAGACCATTTGCTGGCACTTTCTGAATTCTCTAAATAATGCTTTGTCTTAGCAAATAGTTCAAGTAGTTCCCTCAATTTAATTTCACCCACTAATGCAGAAAGTGTTTACATGTAGTGAGAGAAAAAACCCATGGAGCTCAAAAATATGACCAGTGACATAATCATCTGACTGAATAATAGTTCAGCAAGGAAACATATTCCTTTTATTTGTTTATGTTCTCTGTAAGGCTGTTTACAAAGTGTTACTGACAGAACATGTAGTTTGGTTCAAGTCATTCTTCTGAAGTCGAAATGTCATTTGTGCTCTTCTTCCCCTTACACCCTGTAATCCAGAATTGTAGATACAGATTTGTTTCCTAAACTGAAGTACTTTGTATTTAAAATTCTGAAAAATCTGCTTTCGGTAATGCTCTTTAGCAGTGATATAAAACTCCGAGGGGCAAGGGGGTGTGAGGCGTTTTCGGGTGCCTCACTGGCAGACACGGCTGTATTCTTGGCAAGTGGAGCCCACGCCGGCCACTGACAAGTAGAGCTTTCCATCTGGACACACGCAGATTTCATAGAGCCCCTGAGAAATACCGGATCCACCCCTTGCGCCCTCAGGCAGTTTGGGCAGTCGCACAGTTTCAGCATCAAGCAAAAGCTGCATGGGAAAAAAGCAGGACAAATGGGCTCATTAGAGATAATAAAGCAATAGCATGCCATGAAACAAGCTGAATGTCTAGGCAGAGGTTTAAGAATGGGCTTTTACCCAGACTTGTCATATAGAAAGCTGCTCTGAGACCTAGGCTCTTGGTAGACACTGGAACACAGGAGAGGGATAGGCTGGTGCTCACTCTCTTCATTAGCAGATACCTCATGAAGTTCAGCAAAGCCAAGTGCAAGGTCCTGCACCTGGGCTGGTGCAATCCCAAACATGGATATAAACTGTGGATTAGGAGAAGCCCTGAGAAGAAAGATGTGGAGGGGACTGACAGATGAAAATTATTATGAGCCAGCTATGTGCACTAGAAGCCCAGAAATTCAAACACATTCTGGGCTGCATCAAAAGCAGTGTGGCCAGCAGGTTGAAGGAGGTAATTCTGCCCTTGTGAGACCACACCTGGAGTGTTGCATCCAGGTCTGCTGCCCCCAACATAAGAAAGAGATAGACCTGTTCAAGTGGGTCCATAGGAGGGCCACAAAGATGCTCAGAGAGATGAAGCACTTCTCCTATGAGGAAAGGCTGAGAGAGTTGCAGTTGTTCAGCCTGGAGAAGAGAAGGCTCTGGCGAGACCTTATAGCAGTCTTCCAGTACCTGAAGGAGCCCTACAAGAAAGCTGGGGAGGGACTCTTTATCGGGGATAGTGGTTTTAAACTGAAAGAAGGTAGATTTAGGTTAGATATAAAAAATAATTTCTTCCAGCTGTGAGGCACTGGAACAGATTGTCCAGAGAAGTTGTCGATGCCCTGGCAGTGTTCAAAGGCAGGTTGGATGGGGCTAGGAGCAGCTTGGTCTAGTGGAAGGTGTCCCTGTGCATGGCAAGGGGATTTGAACTAGATTATCTTTAAGGTCCCTCCCAATCCAGACCATTATATGATTCTAACATAACAGACAAGGTCCCTGCCTGTATACTGAAGAGCTTCACTCTTTAATTTAGTCACTCTGAGGCTGAGTGTCTACCTCTGGGCCAAGATCCCCACTGAAATGCCTGAGGATCACTGCTAGTGAAGAGCTGAGTGATAGCCAGGTTTTATTAGAAAGCATTTTTCTAAACTAATATAATACTACGTCAATTGATAGTATTATTTACATAAGTAATGGTATTATTATAGGCACTGTTGATTTTAATGTCCTCTCTCCTAAAAGAAGTTGAAAACTAGACTTGAAGTTATTAGTTATATTCAGACAGAAAGATCAACCATAGTTATGGATACAGAAGGGCTTGTACCTACCACACCATCACTGCTGTGTAGTTTGATATCCATCTGGGAAAGAGCTTCAATATTCCCAGCTTGTGCTTTGATATTAATTCCTCGTGGTGCATCCATGCTCAAAGATCGAGTGGGTGATTCCAGCCTGAAAGCAGAAGGAGGAAATGTGACAGTAGCACAATCTTATATATTCCTTTATTTTTGAAAAATGAGTTAACTTTCAACAAGCACTTGCAGGCCCTTGCCTGAAGTAACATAAAAGATGCTGCTTCTTTTTTCTTCGGGCAGACTTGAAAAAGAAGGTAGCTATTTAAAATCACTAAAGTATCCAAAATGAAGAATATAGATTAATTCATAATACAAATGCAAGGTATTATTTCAGACATAACTACAGATCATTTCAGTATAACAGCAATTTAGTCTTTAAAACTGAAACCCATGTTTACATTATTTATTTTCATTTTTGATATAATAGGACATTGAAATTAATACAATTAGTGCAGTCTGAAAGTTTTTGTAATCATCAAGAGTTTTGACACTGCTATTAGTTGGACCAAGATTTCACTCAGTGTGTGTATGTTGTTTAACTAGATGACACCTGAAACCTAAAAACCCCTAACTTAATTTGAAATAAAAGATATGCAATAGAATTGCAAACTCAGTAGTGCCACAAGATGGCAGAAAGGTACTGTATTAGCTGAGTAATCATCTCTTCGGGTCAGCTGCGCAGGATTAATGATTTTTACTTTCCAAAGAGATAAGGCTTTGTTTCTTCAGAATTGTGGTATCATTTCCACAGTAAGTAGCAGGGACAGAAGTACTAATTAAAAATCTTGAGAAGGAAAGAAAAAGCCTGAGCTCAGCAACAGGCTAATGATTATATTGCTTGCTTTGACCATTACCTAGAATTGCTTCATCTGGACACACCGGGAACACCACAGGATCAGAGTTGATACCTACTGGGTTTTGATTCTGAATATTGGTTCACTCTTTCTGATGACACCCAGGCTGAAGTCTACACTATCAGCCAACATTAAACAGGTGAATATGAAGGCTAGAGAGAGTGAGTTAACTGGTGGTCCTTGTTTACTTTATATCTGTGCTACCTTTCCTATTCAGTACATTCCCTGGGCACATATCAAATACTGCAAGTTTCATCCATACTGCAGAATGCAGACCTGCATCCCTGTTCCCTGGTCTGCATGTGTTTACCCACTGTGTCTAGAAATGTAGAGAGGTATGTGTGTGTGTGTTTGTGTGCATTTGTGTACATGCATGTATGCACATGTACTACCAGCAGATGCTGTGTTGGGTCCACGTGTGCTCCACAGCTGCCAGTCTGGGAGAATGAAGGGCTGTGCCCCACCAGGTCCTCTGCAAGGTATTCAGTCCAGACCCTGACTGCCAATCATGTGCTAAAGGATCGAAATGACTTTACATACAATCCTCATGTAGTTGTCTTATGGATTTAATTTTCTCTGACTATTTAAATTCTTCCTTTTTTTTCAGTTACTTTGTTTAAACTAGAATTTAAAAGAAGTCAGTTTGTGCTTGTGAGAAAGTTGAATCTTTGAATTCTGAAGAAACTAAAGCCAACTGATATCTTAAAACCTAAATCCATGATATCTGAGCTCAGTGACTGAAACTTCATTTTTTATCCCCAAGTCTGAAAATAGCTCAAGCAATATTGGCTTATCACTGCTGACCAGAGGTAGCAGAAGATTCTATCTTCTCTGATCTTCAAAGGTCCCTTCCAACCCAAACCATTCTATGACTGTGTTTCTATGATCTGCCTCTCCCTGACATCTCCTGGGTTAGTCACCTTCAATTAGTTTAAACTCCAGATTGGTAATTTAAAATCCTAACAATGGATAACTGCATCATGGTTCCATATTGGGACCATATCCACAAAATGATTTAATGCCTTACCCCATGACACTGAAATGGCACAAACTTCTGTGATGATCATGTTGAGTACAAGTCTGTTCTGTATCAGATGACTAATATAGTATTAGCAATCTTTTTTAAGCAATGTTTGGGATTTAACAACTTTTGCATGACTTTTTGCTTTAGATCCCTAGATTTACACTTCTATGACATGGAAAATCAGTTTTTCCCTGAGTGATTTATATGGGAGGTTTGCTACATGGGAATATTTTTCAGTGCACATTTGTATGTATTATTTAATGAAAAATTAAACAAGGTTTGTATTTTCAAGCTTTAAAATTTAATATATTTTCATAAGTTAGTGTCAAGGTAGTCAAATATGACTTTGCCATAGTTTGTCTTAGCAAAAAGCTATAAACATTGAAATAGCTCATGTTCCCTTGTAAAGTATTTCACCTATGTAAGCAATCTATATATGCAGGCATAAATTTTGATTTTTAAATTATTAAATATCACGGGACGGCACACTCGGACAGATTTTTGGGAGTATATCAGACCTGGAGTTTGGAAAGCAATCAAACACCAGAGAAATATTTCTTACTTTATACCAAAATTAATGCCGGGAAGAAGCCTACAGGCTTTGGAAGCATTTACAGATTCATGATATGATTTACATATAATTTAAATTACATGGCAGAATTACATTTCCTATATTAATCACAACCCTAAATTTCTGCTGTTTATACAGGACCTATTTCTAGATTAACTAAGGGTGGATTTACCTAATTAAGCAAGTCATTAGAGCTTCCTGACAATGAAAACTACAGTGAAGCTCTGAAGTGGAACTACTGTGTGCAAGATTTTAGCAAAGGCAATGGTCAATATTACTAATGATGTAATTCTTTGTACAGCATTCAAAGGTTCAGTGCCTCAAGTCCAGATATACTGAAATGGAAACAGGCACCTGGTGTAGAAACAGCATGACTAAGTTGAACCTTGAGGTTGAATGTCCCTTCTCAGTCCCCACATTGATGTGCATCCTTCAAAAGTCTTGGCAAAGCAAGAATTCAGTTTGTATGCAAATGCTGGAGGGTGCTTGGAGACTAAGAGATCAGAAATTGATTGTCTAAGAGTTTTTGGTCATTTTACAGTGTTCATTTGGATTAGTGCATTAGAATGATGAAGGAATGTATTGTTACCAGTCACTTTTTTTTTTTTTTTTTAAATTACAGACACATAAATTACATTTAACAGGATGGAGTGAATGATCTTTATCATCTAGAAGAATTAATCTATGTAACGTGCTGTCCTAGATGAGACATCTGTCATAGCCTGTATCTCATTTGAGAAGATGGATTCTGTACTTATGAGTAGCTTCTAGGTATTGTGGTAGCTGCCAGGGGTCAATTAGCAAGTGGTGTGGTGCAGGAGGAATTGATCAGGACAGCACAACATTTGATGCCAAGGACCTGACACCCCATTATATGTCTCCTGAGGAGCATTCTGGATTAGCTGCTGTCTGACCCAGCCAACTGGATACCCAGACAGGCTGGAACACATTAGGCATTCTCCAAGAGATCATACCTTTCAGGTTTAATTTAAATATCACCCTGTTCACATACCCCAAACAGTTCCACAATGAGAACCAAGATGTGGAGAGTGCAGACAATTGGGAGATTTCCCTCACAAGCACATTTCTAATTTGAATTAAGTCACTCAAGTAGATATATCCATGGAATGTAAAGCAATGGAAGCTATACCTAGGCCCACTTGCAGGGTAGGTATTTTGCTTAGCTCTCCTTCACCACGATCCCTGAAGCCAGGGAAACTGCACAGTGTCAGCTAATGCAAGGCAGGGGAGGGTTAGGTGGTCCCTGCTAATATTTTATAGCTCTGTCATCTGCTGGATACTCGTCTTCTATAGTCTATTTCAACTAAAGCAACATATTACAACAAAGATAATATTTTTATTGCTGTCTTCTTACTTGTTGGTTAGATCTGGGAATTGACTATATTGTCTTGGCTGGCTGCCAAGGAAATTTGGTGCTGAGATGTGCAGAATAATTCATGAAGGACTGTGTGAGAAGTCTTCTGAGGACACCTGGATAGCATCCAGGCTCTGGAACGGAAACCATCCCAACAACCTAAAGGTTTAGAGCATCCCTTTTTCCTATAAGCTTGTTGGTAACTCATGGAGATACCAGATCACCAGCAATTGCTCAGTTGGCTGTTTGGAAGGATGTGAGGGCCGTGACAGCCTGCTGCAGTTGTAGTAAAGAGGCAGTTGATACTGCCTGTGCATGCTGCAGGAATATTGATCTCTTCTTTCATCCTGTTCTGGCAGGAGTTGGATGGATGCATTACTCATCTTGTAAGTACCACAATGCACTGGAAAGATGGTTTTAGTACTGCAGAAAGAGGGCCACAATCTTACGGAGAATAAGTTTCCTACTGCAGTTTGGAATTGCAGCTGCAGAAAGAGTGCCACAATCTTACGGAGAACAAGTTTCCTACTGCAGTTTGGAATTGCAGAACAGAGGAACAAGCTTGCTCTTGTGAATTTGGGGAATTGTTTACTCCTTCCTTCTGGCCACTTTTTGGCCTTTCCAGCTCTTGAGTCAGCATCTCTCTTGAATT